TGAAAGCAGCTCGCCAAAGCAGCCTCTCACACTCAGCTGGCCACTTTGACAAGCCAGCCATTCCTTGCTCACAACCCCCTGCAATCATCCCAGCCCACCGCCTGTCCTGGCCATCAGCTCCCACAGTGCACACACAGGGGGCTCCACTGCAGCTGAAGGGAGGGAGCAGCATCCCAGGAGGGTTCACTTGGTTCCCTGCATTCCTGTTCCACACTCAGCACATTTCCCAGCACTTATAACCATCCACACTTACCCTGTAAGGTTTCTGAGAGGATTCTCCAAGGGGCTTCTACGGTCTTCTCTGTCTGGAGTCTCCAAAGTCCCCAGTGCCTGCCTTAGGAACCTCAACACAACTCACCTGCTGACAGAGGAACTTGGTGCTGCTTGGCTGCTGCCTCACTTCCCTTCTTCCTTGTTTCTTCACCTCGCTGGGTTAGTCCCTTTCAATCCCCTGGCTCAGCTCTCTGCAGTTTCCACGCCACAGCCCCCTGCAAAAAGTATCAGCTCTCGTTACACCTCACAACTCACACAGCATCCCCCCTTTTTCCCTCATACTTGGTCATTAGGACAAAGTCTCCTTATTTACAGCACAGTTGGACTCCTGAGTGACTACAACAGCTACAGCCCTGAATCAGAACACAGGCTGAGGGACAAACACGGATGAGAACTTGCAAGGATCCAGTTTGTTCTCCTTACCAATCAAAGGAGCTTTCCTAACTCAAGATAAAAATGCCCAAGGTCCCTTTTCTGCAACTTGAACTGACAGAAATGGGATCAGCAAGACATGCAAAGGCCTTTCCACTTCACCTGGAGGGGCTGGGAGTCCCATCACTTGACAGGGACCCAAGGGCTGGGCAGGAACGGACGGGCTGGGGCGTCCAATCCATCGGCCGAGGCGTCACCGTCAATTCCTGGAGTTCCTGCAGGGCACATCCTAAAGCCAGCAAAGAATGATGAGGATCGCTTTTTGCTTTCATGGGAATATCTCCTGCAATATGGGGAGCTGGATAAGGCCCCCTGGTGCAACAAGGACAGACTTATGGCCATCTATTCAAACTATCTCAAAGCTCCCTGCACACCTTGTCCTTTGTTTTCCCTCCCAAACAAAGGGGCTTCAAACAGTTCAGAGAGATGTGGCAGAGCCAGAGCTCTCCTCAGGGAATGCCTGAGCTGCCTAAAGGCTGCCCTTGCACCAGCTATCCAAGGCAGCAAACTCTTACAGGGGGTTTCCAAAGTTTGCATCAGCCTCACCACACATCCCTAGGGAGCAATGCAGAGTCCTCACCATCCTACCATTCCCAGGAAGGCACTTCAGGGACTGCCTGTGGCTCAGGGAGGACTCAGGTGGCTTCTTTTCTTCCTTCCCCATGTCTGCATCTTCTCCTCCACAAGCAAAGGTTTCTTGGCTTGCCTTGCTCCTGGAGATGCAGCAAAAGGCATCTTGAAATCTAAGACTGGCATTCTGATTTTAAAGGATACTGGGGTTGACTTACCCATACAGATCCCAGCTTACGGCTAATACCTACAGGCTCTGCCCTGGTCCAGTTTCCTGCAATTCCACTGGTCTACACCACAGGAACAACTCCATCTTCTGCCACTTCAGTCGGGACGGTGCTGCTGACAGGAGTTATTTCCTGCACGAGAAGAGCTGCTGCTCTCACACAGTTAGTTTCAGCAATTACAATTTCAATCATCTCCATTTTTCAATTTGATTTCTGTCTTAAGTTTCCCAATCAAGTTCTTCCTAGCAGAGGCGTGGGCAAGCATGGCAAAGAGAAACTGAGGAATTCCCCAAGGTTTTCCCACTTTACCCCCTGTCACACCCATCACCTTCACAGTGCCATCCCTGAATTCTCCCTCGGTTGTGTTAAGGACGGAGGAAGCTGGACCTGTGTCTGACCAGCACATGTGCAAACCAAACACTGGGGGGACTGGAACCCACACCTTGCACTCCTGCAGCTCTCACAACTCCACTCCAGAGAAAACACCCAATGGTACCATCACCACTCATCCCTTAAGCCCAATCCCACACTTCTTTTGCAGTCAGAGCACCACTTTGAGAAGCCAATGACAGCCCAGTCCAGAGCTGCATGGCCAGGACAGGCAGCTCCACCTCTGATCCTCTCAGGAATGCCTCAATCCATTGCAGGGACCTTGCTTTGAGCTCCCCAGCTTGGGGCACCCAGAGGAGCTCCCCGAAGAATCCTTTGGGTGCGCGCTCGAGTCCTCGGGGTGCCCCAGCCCGGGGGGCACCAACAGCACTGTCCCTCCAGGGGGCCCAATCTGCTCCCAA